CACTTTTAAAAAAATTCTGTCGAAATTTTGCTCCAGCGATATTTTAATATCGTTTTTAATTTTTGGAAAAATTGATCGATCGACGAAAATTATCGATCGTCATCGTTCTTTTCATCTTCTTATATTCGGAAGGGAGTGTAGTAAATTTAATAATGTAATATTTATAATATCGGCAGAAATTTTTTAACGTTGTTTCGTGGCGAATCAACGAATTTTTTCGAAAAAAAAAAAAAAACGACGATTTAACGATAATATACAACGCCGAGAAGAAGATTCTTTCTTTTCTGAAAGACTGTTAACCGATACGTACGATACTTCCAGCGAGGGAAAAGAGGGGAAAAAAATAAGAAAGAAAATAATATAATAACATTCCAAACGGGCAAAAGTAGTGGAAAAGGCATTCGAGATGGTGTAACGATCGATCGATCGATCGATTTTGAACGGAAAGCGGGAAAAGGATTGCGATCCTTTCGTATCGATTTTTTTCCCCCGAATCGAAGAAAATTTATTATCGGGAAATTGGAAGTATCAGTTTTTTCGTAACGCGACGTATAATCGTCAGGCCGTGCACGAGAATGACGCCATTCCGCGTAGGCTTCCCTCTTTGAAACTGCCAGTTCTAGGTCCTACATAGAACTTGCTATAAAATTCGAAAAAAAAAAAAAAAAAGAAAGAAAGAAAGAAAGAAAATACGCAATGCGTGTAACGCGAAGAGCATACACGATTAAAAATGAAGTGAGAGGTGTGCGGGAGCATATGTTCAAGGAATTCCGTTCTTTGGCAGCACACACGCGTCATATCCCTCGAAGCCAAAGAAATCATTGAAGAAAAAAAGAAGAAGAAGGAAGAAAGAAAGGAAAAAAAGAAAAAAAAAAAAAAAAAAAAAAAAAAAAAAAAAAAAAAAAAAAAAAAAAGAAGCCATAAAGACACTTTGTACTATTACGCAAATAATACTCTCTCGTTTATAACGAGGATCACGAAGAAACTCTGTTTAGATTATTTATAAGGGAACGTTTCTCGGCGAAGAAGAAACGTCCGAATCAAAGGCCGTTCGTTCGTTCGTTCGTTCGTTCGTTCGTTTCTCGATGAATTTATCTCTCGCGTATATTTGTAAAATCGTGTTGACGAGACGCGTCTCTCTCTCTCTCTCTCTGTCTTTGTCTCTGTCTCTCTGTCTCTCTTACTCTCTACGTCTCAAGGAAAAAAAGATAAAAGAAAAATGGCCTATCGACGGATAACATAATAGCCGTGGAAACTTTGTAAATAACACGATCGTTCGCGTTAGAAGATAATAAGGGAGCGAGTAGGTAGTAATAATATAATCGAAGGACAAAGGAAAGGATGATATGTATATGTATGTACTTACTAACTACGACTTACCAACCATCGATGGCTGTAAAATTGAAAGAAGTGATTTTTAGAGAAGTATTTCGATTTTCGAGCAAAAATCATCCGCTGTCATCTCGCGTGTTGGATTTGTCGCGAAATATTTTTTCGAAATGCGGGAAAGGAAAATGATCGTAATGAAAAAAAAAAAGAAAAAAGAGAGGAAAAGATTCGTAAAGAGGAGAGATGGAAAAGAAAAGAATTTTAGAATTAATTAAGAGTAATAATGTCCGAATGTGAAATTGTTTTGGATGGGAATTTTTTTTTACGGGATCGAAAAATCGAATCGCGGCCGATTTGAATCGCGCGCGCGTGCGCGCGCAGACGATTTCTCGAGTTCGATCCACGCGAGAGAGGAGATAACAATCTGTTGTTGTGAAGCGTGGTTGGTGTAAGTTTAACATAAAAAAAAAAAGAAAAAAAAAGAAAAAAAAACGAATTTTGAATACACGGGCTCCACGTTCTTTTTCTTCACACACCCGCCGAGAATTTCTCCTCCCCCGTCCATTCTCTCCGTCCTAAAAATATATCGATAAATGATACGAACGATTTTTATAACGATATAATTTACGAGAAGTTATTTTTTTGTAATCATTAAAGAGAGAAAATTATCGAATAATTATCGACTTTTTGATAATTTATTTTTATTTTTACTTGAAGAGAGAAGGGGAAAAAAATGTAAAAATATCCTTTTCTACTAAGTACACACTTGGATAGATTGTATTATCATTATTATTTTTTTATTTTATTTAAATAGTTTTTTTAATTTCCACTCGTCACCCCGTGTGTATAATCTGCGCCCATCTCCTGATCTCTGTTATAATTTCGATGATCGATCACTCCTCGTGTTGATTCTATCTTCGATATTGACAGGCTACAGAACTATCATCGTATTTTGATGGATCGACCATACGCCATGTTTAATCGATTTGCTTTATTACGTTTATCTTCTAAATTGTATATACGACGCTTGTCTCATCCCCTCCCCCTCCTGATAAATATAATTATTTTATATACAAAATACATTACACAGAATGTATCCATCACCATTGGAAAGGGATTGATAAATTACGATAAGAGACTGGAAGAGGCTTTCGGCTGACGCGTTGTCGACTCGTACTACTTACGATCCGCATCGCTCTCTCTCTCTCTCTTCCCTCAGATGATTATACGTGTAGGAGAAGGAAGAAGAGCGAGGGTGAGGCGCGTGCAAACATTTCTATACCCTATCTAATCCACTGGAACTAGTCACTTCAATTTCAGAATTCAAAAGATTCGCATCACCGTTCTATCCGTTTCTTCGATCGAGTTCGACATTTTTTGGAAAAACGTATTTTTGAAATTTTAAACTTTTTCTTATCAAGTGTACATATATATATATATATATATATATAATTATGGCCTCGATCGAATTCGAGGAACCGGAAGTTACGATCTACAAAGCATCGGTGGAATATTTTTTGCTCGAACAAGAACGAAAATGCAATGGATTGATGGCGGAATGTAAGTTCGTACATTTTTTTTCATCCCTATAAGATACAAATTCGAACGAAAATCGAAGATCTCGTGGAAAAATTGACTTTTTCTTTTTCTTTTTTTCTAAACGAAAACAGATGAAAACATCACGTCGCAATATTATTGCCCGCCATATTTCGACGGCCTGCTTTGCTGGCCGTACACCAACGTCTCCAACGTTGCCATTTTACCGTGTCCATCCGAAACTGGCCCATTAAACCAATTAAATTCCGCGATCGGCTCCGCTCTAAACTCGAATACATCTGTTGCTACAACAGTGGCGAGCAAATTTTGCTTTTCGAACGGCCAGTGGTACTCAAATCTTGAAAATATTCGCAAGAGCAATTACAGCTTGTGCAAATTGTCCAAGAAGTTCATCGATCGCCTTTCCGTGGATTTAGGATATTTCGAGATACTTCAGTTGCGAGATTACAAAAACTTTGAAAAATACAAATACCTGTTGAACGTAAGGAATTTTTTTGAAAGGCCTTGATCGTTTTTTTTTTTTTTTTTTTTTTTTTTTTTTTAAATCAATCGTCCTGAATCGAATTTTTGCCTGCCGTCAGAAATGGTTGCCTATCGTCAAGATCATCTCTCAAATTGGATATTCCATGTCCTTCACCATGTTGATCATAGCGATGATCATTTTCTCGTTGCTTAGGTATGCTTCTTTCTCTTCTTTCGTCTTCCAATACTGACTCGTAATTAATCGATTGATTCCTTATTCCCTTAGAAAACTGAGAAATCCAAGGAACAGATTGCACATGCACTTGTTCGCCTCGTTCATAATGAGAGCGTTCATGACACTGGTCAAAGATTGGATCTTCGTCAATGGCATCAGCCGACCTGTGGACGTCCTTTACGTTGAAAATTACGCTCTTATCAAGCAACCAAACGTACGCTTGTGTCGTGTAAATATTCGATGAAAAGAGAAAAATAATAGAAAAGATGAAACCGAATCGATATTTACACGAAAAACAATAAATGCTTATAAAAATGTGGAACACGTTTGGAGGGTGGATTCTAGACACCAAAACGATAAAAAAAGTTGGTATACACGAATATCTGATAAGACTTAATTAAGGAGTTACAAGCATTTTAAGTTAGATAGAGCGAGAACGCTCAGTTAGGTGCGCGGCAGTACCGTATCGCGATGCAGCGGAGCCCCTCGATGAAAGTAAATATAATCATACTTTTTTATATACGATCGATTGTTTCAAATGAACTTCAGTGTGATGTATGTATTATGTAACTTCTTATTTAACCTTAACCTCGAATAAGTTTCTGTTAAATAACTAAACTGCATAGATTTCAATTTGTTTGTAAATAATTAAATTTTTTTTTAAATGATATAAAAATGTTGCATAGTCACATTACATTACGATATTTATGTACATTGTATATTACTTTAAAATTGTATAGGGGCTTCGCTACGCCATACAATACGGTCCTGAGCGTTATCTAATATAAACTTAAAAATGTTTATTAATTAAGCCTTATCGAATATACGTATATATAAATCTTTTTTATCGTTTTGATATCCCAAAGATGTCCCACATTTTTATAAACACCCTGTATATATATATATATATATATATATATATCCGTTACAGATAATAATCTGCAAGGTGGTCATAAGCGGGTGGCAATACTTTATCGTGGCTAATTATTCTTGGATCCTGATGGAGGGTCTCTACTTGCACAATTTGATCGTTTGGGCATTCTTCGCGGATAGCGAAACGATCAATTTATACGTGTTGATGGGATGGGGTAAGATCTCTTGTCGATTGGTGTACGTGATTTAATCAAATACGGGGATTAAGTGTTGTCCGAGATATGATTTTCCTCGAGATCAAAGTTTCAAAGTTGAACTTAATTATTTTAGAAATTGAATTTGTATTTACGCGATTAATTAATTAAGGATTACCTGTTTTCGTGGTTGTACCTTGGATAATAATTCGCGCCACTATCGAGGACACGTTTTGCTGGACCACTCACCAAAATCCTTTCCTATTTCTACCTATAAAGATTCCCATTATGATATCAAATTTGGTAAGTGATTCTCGTATGGCTTTGATGAAAGTCGATCCAGCGAATAAAATAAATCAAATAAATGTTATTCAGTTCAACTTCTTACTGTTCCTCAACATAGTACGTGTACTGTTCATTAAATTCAAAACGTCGGTACATCTGCAACAAAAAAAGATGCAATACAGGTAAATTTAATACATGTACTTTTTTTGTCACTATAGTTATTTTTCTTGAGATGATTATGTTACTGTTATAAAGTTTATTAATTCTTTTTTTTTTTCAAACACAGTAGATGGGCCAAAGCTACTCTAGTACTGATACCGTTATTTGGTGCTCATTACACGCTATTCCTAGGCTTTTCGTATGCAGACAGTAAACTGGAACTTGTTTGGCTCTTCTTCGATCAATTATTCGTCTCTTTTCAAGTAATATGATTATTCTTAAAAAGAAAGAAAGAAAGAAAGAAATTTTTTGAAAATGTATAAATTTAGCGTTGAAAATAATTATTATTTAAAAACAAATATATATTTCCAGGGTTCTTTTGTTGCTTTGCTTTATTGTTTGTTGAACATCGAAGTCAGAACGGAAATTAAACGAGCATGGAGAACAAGATGGAGGAATGCAAATATTTTTGTGTCCACGTGTCGAGAATCAAGAAGGATAAAAACTATTCGTCGATACAGAAAATCGAATGACCATCTCACCAGTACAACTTTGAGAACTGTGTTGCAATCTGATAGAAGATCGAATGATTTTTGGCCAAATGTTTTAGAAATGGAGACAGGATAGAAAGAATTTTAAGAAAGAACAGTTTTATATCTGATAGATAATTATGTAGTTTTTTTTTCAGAGGAATTTTAATTTTGATATCGTAAAAATATAAATGTAAAGTATATAATTATGAAATATAAAATATTATCAACGATAAAATATACACGATCATTCTTATCGATAATATAACACTTACACGTGAAATTGTAGAACCAAGAATATGTATGATAAGGAGAGGAATATGTATGATAAGGAGAGGAAATAATATGAGAAGGATAGAAATAGTAAAAATATTGAAATCAGCGCCATCTCTAGAGTGCCGCAAATGAAACGCATAAAAAAGGATAGAAAATAGTATGAGAAAGATAGAGATAGAATAAGAATTAATCTTTAACGCCATCTCTCGAGTGCAAAGAACATCATTTCGACAAATCATTTTAACAAAACGCTCGAGAGATGGCGTTAAAGATTAATTCTTATTCTATCTCTATCCTTCTCGCACTATCTTCTATCCTTTCTCCGTGTGTTTCATTTGCGGCACACTACAGATGGCGCTGATTTCAATATTTTTACTATGTCTATCCTTCTCACATTATTTCCTCTCTTTGTTTTTAGTTACTATTACCGCAAGACTAGAAACGAGAAGTTCAAGAGACGTTTGATTGAGCATATTTCCATCATTTCTTTTTATAATATATTTCTAGATTACTTTCGATCTTATTCTTAGAGTTTAAAACGAGTCGAATTCCAAAGATATAAAATAAAAATTACATTGAATTAATCTATTCTACATATCGTCTGTGATAAAATATCTTTTTCCTAATATTTTCAACTGATAACTCTAATTGCCAATTAAATATTGATCACATCGTTCTTAATATTACCTCATCTGATTTGTGCTGCGTAAAAAGTCAACAACATACTTTCACTTATTCTGTATTTAATTTTGAAATTTTTTCCTAATTATCAAAAGATATGATTCCATATTTTCAACGAAACTTCTAACTTCTAGTTTTTTAAACACAACAATCGAAGCTCAAGTCGCGTCAAAACCGCATAAACAGTTTTAGATTTGGATTTCGCGCAAAGAAGAGATTCGCCCAAGATGAACCCTTTTGTTGAAACACCCTCTGAAAAGTCACGTGCCGCGAAGGGATGCGGTCGAAAAAAAAGGCGTCAATGGGTTGAAGCGTGAACTATCTCATGACACCCGCGAACAAAAAAGAAATATTAATCGAGAGTGCGGTTCACCTCATCTCGATTTTCGTCGCAACTATGCAATCTGCGACACGTGTTGCGCAACGTGTACATTATGTCGTCCCGTCGAATATGATTACTCGGAGTGGTGTCGCACCCTTTAACGCCCATCCCTAACGATTTTGTTACGCACAATTGTTGCGTAATTGCGGTGTTTGGATCCTCGAAGAAACCATCCCCTTAAATATTTTTTCGTTGACAAAACGTAACCTACGATTCAGATGAATTTTAAAATATCGTCCAACGAGTTAAAAACGTGGAAATACAGATTGCACGAAAAGAAAAATACGAAATAAAAATAACTAATTTAATTAAACTATTAAATCCTTCCAAATGCTTATCTAACAACCAGTTTTATCCAAATATCTCTCTCTCCAAACATATATATATATATCCTTCACGGGATCAGAATATAATCATACTATGTATAATAGTTTTGAGAGAAAGTCGCATGATCGATAAAATGGTCCACCCATTCGCTTGCCTCGCGTCCACCAGGTGCGGAAATGTTCCATGGTCTGGAACATTGATGGCAATGGCGGCCACTTTGGGGCGGTCTCGATCCCGGTCTCCCGCTTTTCCATTGGAGGATCGAGGGGATGCTGAGGGAGAGAGAGAGAGAGAGAGCGAAAGAGCGAGGGGTGAGACGACGAGGGGTTCGTTTCGTGAGGGCGTGGTCTCGTGGACGACGAGATGATCCTTGAAATCGGCCCTCGGGGCGCATCCTGTCCACGCGACAGGGCATCTTATCAGAGACGTCGTCGATCTCGTGGTGTAATCGTAGGTGTTTGCTTCGGTTCGTACACGGTGGAAATTATTTTTTGAATAATTTTTTTTTTTTTTTT